AGCTGCAAAGCATTTCACAATGGGGTATATTTCTAGAAAATCTATGTTTATTAGAACTACAGAATGAACTATCTAACATGTTAATAAATGCTACCTATTATTAATATTAATGAAGACTACCCTGAATTAAAAGATAATTGGCATGTGTTATGAGAACCAATGGATATACTTACAATTGCAGGTGAATTTAATTCATTATAAGTTTGTCCTCTAAATAGCTGTAAATTGTTTACTGGTTATGGAATATAATATTTCACATGATAGAGTAATGCCAACATTGTTATAGAATAGCAATGCCATTTGCAAACTTGGGGGTTATGATCTGCTTTTAGATCATGGAAGAAATGCTTTATAATTCATTATTCTAAGCTTCTTATTTACCTATAATGTTAATAAGAGAAAAGTGACAGCCCACTTTTTTTCCTGAATTTTCATTGGTGCTATGTAGATAAAAGAAATATTGATACTCTGCACAGGTAGGACACCACAAAGAAGAGCTCATCACAAAACTGTCTCCTGTCTTGAAACTTGTAGGAGTTAAGATGCAGAAAGTCAAGGGTTAGAAGCTCAAAAAGCTCCACAAGAAACAAGGACAGAGCTTACTAGTGCCTTGTTTCAATGCTGGCCAAATACACGCTAAAGGTCTCTATCCTTCCCCCTTAATGTCATATGGAGACTGAAGCTTAAAAATGGTGATCTAGCGAATCTTTTGGTTGAAAATACATGTTCCAACTGTAGACTTTCCATGTTAGCCACTGCATAGCACACTGCTTAAAAGAAATACTGTATGGACACAACATAAAGTCTTATTTCAATAGGTTAATACTCTTGTATTCTTTACAGATAGATATATAAGATTGAAAATTCAATTTATACCCTCTTTTCATGAAATATTCAATCTCTCTGAACTCTTTATTTCTTTCTTATCTGTTCTATCTTTGATTACATTTATTTATGAGTTCTATTTTTTTACACCACCTTCTCCATCAAGATGAAGAGTCAACTCTATTATTCCCAGAACTTTATACCCAGAAAACATATAGATATAAGACTGAAAAGAAGTAATAGCATGGATGGCCCCAAACAGAAGAAAAGTTGACAAAAAGAATAGGCATTTTTAAAGGACACATTGTTGATACTGAAATTTACACTTAAAACTGCATAAGCTTAAATGTTTGAAAAATTAAGAATATATCAAACAATGAAAATTAGGTGTTAAAACCTAATTCAGGATCATTACACACTAGGGACCAGCAGTTAGTGTAATGGCTATGTCACTGGACTCCCACGTAGTCGACCGTGGTTTGCGTCCCGGACCTGGTGGCTTAAACTCACACCGGTGCGTGTGCGTGCGTGCCCAAAGAATGGAAGAGAAAGGATTACGGCGTGGCCATCCCCCCTAGGGGGTGATTTCTCGCTTTCTGTCTCTCTGTCTCTCTGTTTGTCTGGTGAGCGCACACGCCCTATAGCAAAAACCTCTCCAAAAAAAAAGAAAAAAAAAAGGATCATTACACACTATATACATGTTCTGAAAATTACACTATACCCCATGAAACACAAAAATATATAATATATAAATTAGAAATCACAATAAAATTTAGTTGGTTTGTTTCTGTTTTTGAAGTTTCGTTATAGGGTGTGTACACTTACCAGAGAGAGAAAAAAAGAGAGGGGAAGTGAGAAAGCACTCCCCAGGGAAGGTGATCACACCATAATCCTTTCTTCTTTATCCTCCTCTCAAAATGTTGAGCACGCATGCACATGCACCCCGTGTTTTTCCAGCTGCTGGAGCAGCTCAGTCAGCCATGTGGGATCCAGATGCCCTAACAACCATGCTAGCCTTAAGGCCTAAAAGTTTTGTTTGTTTGTTTGTTTCAAAACCTAACTCCAAAGGATGGGAAATGTTGACTAGTGTTCCAGAGGAATCCAAATTATTTTCTATCTTCCCTTTAAATTACAAAACTCACATATCATAAATTTTCTGGAAAGAGAACGGTTTAAAAAAATTCAAAATTGAACATTTATTTTGAAATTGAAAAATTCTGCTCCAAGTGAAACTCAGTATCTGTTCCTGAAAATCTACTCACCCATACTCCTGCATTCCTCATCTCTGTTAATGGAATCAACAGCTTCTGAGTCTCTAGAGTGGAACCTCCATCAGATCACCTCCAATCTCTTTTTCTCATGTTTTCTCTCACATCTGTGCAGTCCTGTCCATCCCCACATCATCCCAAAGCAGTCATTCTAGACTCCCCTCTCTCTTACTCCCCGTATCTGGTCCATCAGCAAATCCTTACGATATCATCAAAATTTGGCTCTCACCACACATTGCCACCACTACAGCCCCAGCCACCATAATCCCTCCCCTGGTTTATTGCACTGGTTCCCCAAATTATGACTATGACCTCCAGCTTCAGCCTACTCTCAAAAGAGCAGCTTAGGACCATCGTACTCTTCAGCTCAAAACCTCTGAAGGCTTCCTAGCTCAGAAAAAGTTGAAGTCTTCATGGTCTTAAAGGATCTGCTCCTATATTTCCACTACCACCCTTACTTCCTACCACTCTCCCCGTGAAATTCAATACAGAGTTCCAACTACCCTGGCCTACCTGCCAGGTGTGCTGTGCTTCCTCCCACCCTTTATCTCTCCATGCAATGTTTGTCAGTTACTTCCTTCAAGATTTTATCCCAAAAGTCTATCTTCCCAATAAGGTTTTGCACTTGAGATTTCACTATCTTTTCTATGCAACATTTCAAATCCTTCTTATTTTATTTTTCTATAAGGTAAGCATCTCTAACTCAAAAATCTGAATCCAAAATGCTCCAAAATCCAAAGCTTTTTGAGCACAGGCATTATGCTTCAAGTGGAAAATTCCATACCTGACCTCATGAAATTTCAGTTAAAATGCTGTAATACAAAAAATATTATATAAAATTTCCTTCAGACTGTGTGTGTGATATGTGTGTGAAACATAAATTCCATTTATATTTGGGTCCAATCCTCAAGAGATCTTATTTGGTATAAGCAACACTATTCCAAAATCTGGAAAAATAAATTTAGAACACTTCTGGACTTAAGGATTTTAGATAAGGAATGTTCACCTTAAATATTTCACTTATTTATTTAGTTTATTGCTGGTCTCGACTGGAATATAAATTCTACGATGTAGGGATTTTTGTTTGTTTTATTTTCTGCTGTATTCTCAATGTCTAGAAAGAGCTTGGCACACAGTAAGTGCTCAGTGAATTTTATGGAGTGAAGAAATGAACTAAAGAATCTAATGAACAGACAAAAGAATGACTCCAGCTTGGGCTCTCATTGCCTTTTTCCTGGTCTTGTGGCCAACATAGGTTATGTAATAGAATCTAAGTGGCTCCCGGCCATCCACTGAGGAGAGTATGGTTCTACAGGATGGCACCAAGCTCCTTCACAATAGGATACTCTCTTCTAACCTCATCTCTTTACATCCCAAACCTACAAATTCATCTGTAGGCCAGTGTCTCCTGAATATGATTAATGTACAGGCCTGTCTGAAATGCAAAAAATTTCCCAGTGACTCTAAAGGTCACATTCCCGGGTCTGGTGTGAGAAGCACTAACAAGAAATCGATGACTCATTGATTTAGTCAATAAAAATGTCTTTTCCCCCCTCCTTTATGGGAGCAGGGAGAGAAACAGAGAAGAGAAATTCCTGACAGAGTCTTGCCACACTGCGATTTTACTGCCCCAGTCTCTCAATTTGCTAAACTGTGTTGGAGCATTGAGATCAGCCTGGGAACCAAACCGGGGTCTCCCATGTGATTTCCAGCCTCCCAAGGAGAAGAGCTACCTGTGTACCACTGTGGCTGGGCCAAGAATGTCTTTCTATTGCAGAATATTACCGATAAAATAACTTTTAATAGTATAACCAAAATGAAAACAAAATTCTAATATCTTCACAATACATGCACTCCCTGAGAATAAATCCATGGATCTCAGTTGCAGAACTGACCGCTGCTATGCCCAAATGAAACTATTTCCCATTCCAGAGAGGCTTATGCTTATCTGGTGCCCCATCTTCACTCCTGCTGTTCCCCTAAAATAGCCTTCCTCTCACTATAGTTCTCAAAATTTTAGTCAACAGGGGCTGGCAGGTGGCATGGTGGTTAAGGGTGCTGGACTCCCACATGGCCCACTGCTGTTCAAGTCTCAGACCTGGCAGCTTGCTTCTCACTTTCCCTCTCTCTCACTCTGTCTCTGTCAAATTAAAATAAATAAATAAAGTTAAATAAATAATTCTTTAAAAAAAGAAAAATTCTAGTCATCATTAATGCCTCCTCTTCTTCCTTTTTTTTTTTTTTTTGGAGAGGTTTTTGCTATAGGGCGCGTGTGCTCACCAGAAAGACAGAGAGATAGAAAGCGAGAAATCACCCCCCAGGGGGAATGGCCGTGCCGCAATCCTTTCGCCTCCATTCCCCTCCTGGGATCCTGGGCACGCACGCACACGCGCCTGGCGTGAGTTTAAGCCACCGGGTCCGGGACTTAAACCACGATCGACTACGTGGGAGTCCAGCGACATAGCCATTACACTAACTGCTGGTCCCATGAACTCTTCTTTTTGATACCCTTGGCCAAAACTCTCAGTCTCATGGGGCAATTTTATATTTCTTCTATGGTATTACCCATATTATTATCTTGCATAGATAGTATGTTATACTATTATACAACTAGAATGTTATTCTGTTATTTACTCACAGTTATAATAGCTCCTGGATAACATAAAGATTAACATGTTTATTTCTACAACAATAATATGGTATCTTCCACAGGGCAACTAATAAATGCCCACTGAATTAACATCATGTAGGGTAAAAGCAAGAATGCTTCTATACATGTAACCTGCTACTGACCTTCATAAAAATGGGTCTGCTTATTACAAAACTTATAAATAAACACATATAATATACTCATAATAAAAAGAGAAAGATGTGGGCAAGAATGTTTAAGCTATTTGTAGGATTTACCTTCTTTTAAGCAGTAAGTCTGATATTGGTATGCACCTTAGACCAGTTCCCAAAACCATAAGGAAGGATGTCAGAAGCACAGTTACCCGAAGACCTACAAAGAAACAAAACATCAGGTTATCTTCTATTTGTCTTAAGTAAGTTCAATATTAAGAATAAAAGTTTTATTACTCAATCATACCGATACAATATTTTATTATGGCTTTTCTCTATAACTGTCAACCATTACACCATCTGCTGGTCCTGGTATATATATATCCTATATATAAAAATTCTACTTTTCAAATGTAAGCTGGTAATAAAAATACTCTAAACTATCCCTAAAAAGTATTTAAGGGTAACAAATCATTACCTTACGTTTTCTCAACAAATAAAAACTTGCCATCTATGTATTTTATTTATAACAAAAACAAGCTAATGCTTGTTACCAGATCATAGTAAGTGGTCCTTTTTAAAAATTTTATTCATTTATTTATTTAGCTATAGGGTGCATGTGCTTGCTGTAGAGAAAGAGAGAGAGGAAAAGTGAGAAATCAGCCATAGGCCAGATGGCCGTGCTACAATCCCTTCTCCACTCTCCTCTCAGGATTTTGGACACACAGGCACATGCACCTGGTGTGATTTTTAAGCCCCTCTGGGCCTGGGAGTCAACTGCGCAGTCAGCCATGTGGGATCCAGCCACCTTAACCTCCATGTTACCTGATGGCCTGTAAGTAGTTCTTTATAATTCTCTAACTAATATTACTAGGATGGAATTTTCTTGATTTATAGGGTAGATTTCAACTCACACAATGATGCTGTTTAAAAAAAAAGTATGACTTGGATTTTAGAAGATAATTTGGGTCAGATAGCTTTTTCCTCTATATTCCAAATATGATCAATTATTTTGAAAATGTGTTGGTCATGGGAAAAAGTCCAAAAGAGATTTCAAAAATTAAAAAAATAATAATGAATGAGGTAATCAGAAATAGGTATAAAATTCTAGCCATGGCAGAGTAATATGATGAAACTGCATCTTCCTATTCTTGGAAGGCTACACTTATGTCACTACTAAACTATCTTACTTCCTTATTTACATCTTACTGTTTGTGATACATCACATAAGTGGCTCATATTAAGTCTAAGTCCATGGCAAAGGTGACATACTTTAAATTTCTCCCAAATCCAATATCACCTTGAAATCATTTCACACAGAGCAAAGACTTAAACTGCAATGCAATTTTCCTTTTCTCTCAGAAATTTTTGGGGCGGGGGGGGGTGTAGGTGATGGTTAAATGTTTTTCAAAGGGCTTCTCTGCTTGAAGGAAATTGAAAGTCAACACAACTGTAATTATGCAGATCAAACACAGCAAGGAAAATAAACTTGAGATCCAGAGCAGGCACACACATGCTACACTGAGGGTAATTTGTGATATGAAGTGAGTTAACTTTATAATACCCTTATATAATCTGAACATGATTAATACAATTTGGCAGAGGAGATACCATAGAGAATTGTGCTTCCTAGAAACAAGTAATGCATACATACTGCTCATTTTCTGCTTCCACTAACAGAACACAGATTTTTAGAACCACATTATAGCCATAGGAAATAGAGTGTAATTAATGAAAAGTACACACACAGTCATAAATATCCTAAAATTGCAAAATGTTGCTCTTACAAAGTTATACTGGGTACCCTACAAGATACTAAATAGAATTTTATAGATCTGGTAGTAGATGGCTTACGTTCTACATGCTGTTTATTTTTTCCCCAAAGACTGTGTTTGTAATTAAGGTAAACAGCCACCAAGCAAGCAGTGGGGCACTGTTTATGGCCATATGGTCCAAATAGCCAGACTTTCCATTGTTACTGCTGAAGGCAAGAACTCTGTTCTACTCAAGTATGCTTTTTATCAAATATATGACAATTTAACAGCTAATGCAAACTTTTAAGAATCAACAAGTTGGGGCTGGCACATGGTGTGGTGGTTAAGGCACTGGATTCCCACATGGCCAACCGTGGTTTGGGTACTAGACTTGGTGTCTTGGTTTCTCCTTTTCCCTCTCTCTGTCTCTCTCTGGTAAAATTAAAGCACGGTGATAATGAATAAAACAAAATAAGTAATTATTTTTTAAAAAAAGGAATCAACAAGTTGTGAAAAGCTGATTTTTTTTTTAGAAGTTTAGCCATAGGGCATGTGCACTTGCCAGAGAGAGAGAGACAGAGACAGTGAGAGGGAAAGTGAGAAATCATCTCCTGTGGGGTAGCAACCTTCAATCCTTTCTTTTCCATTTTCCTCCTGGATTTGAGCACACCTATACGCACATCCTGGGAGATTTTCAAGCCACCGGGCCCAGCATTCAAACCATAGTCAGCCATGTGGAAGTCCAGTGATATAATCACTATGCCATCTGCTGGTCCCAAAAAAGCTGATTATTAAGGCAACTCTGGAGGTCAGGAAGGGTGCAGTGATAGTGCAACTAGACCCACAGGAGAAAGTTCAATCCTGAGGCCTCCCTGAGCATGCTGAGTACAACAGTGCCCATAATCCGAGCTGGCTGAGACTGGGTGGGGAGAGGTCACGGCATGAGACCCTGCTGAAGATGCTTGTCTTTCTAATTGTTTGCATTTCTCACTCTCATGGAAGATAATTAGCTTTTAAAAGTTACAACAGCAACAACAAAAAAACCTCTGCAGGTACAGCTTATTGGCTTTTTAATTTTTATTTATTTATTTATTTTTTTGGAGAGGTTTTCGCTATAGGGTGCATGTGCTCGCCAGACAGACAGACAGAGACAGAGAGACAGAAAGCGAGAAACCACCTCCCAGGGGGGATGGTCACACCGCAATCCCTTCTCTTCCATTCTCCTCTCGGGATCTTGGGCACGCACGCACACGCGCCCGGCATGAGTTTTAAGCCACCGGGTCCGGGACGTGAACTGCGGTCGACTACATAGGAGTCCAGCGACATAGTCATTACGCTAACTGCTGGTTCCCTTTCTACATATTTTTAATTGTCTGGATTTTATTTAATCTAGCCCATTTGATATTCAATCTTTTCCCCTAAAGAATTATTTAATTTTGTTATTATTAGTTTTTAATCTAACCAGAGAGAGATACAATGAGAAAGCAAGCACCAGGTCCAGGACTCAAACCACAGTCAACCATGTGGGAGTCCAGCACCTTAACCACCACGCTACCTGGTGGTGGTACTCAATCTTGATACTTTGATACTCAATCTTGAATACAATGTGTTCTTCATGTCACTCACTCTTTGACAAGGCATAACTCTGTAATTAAATATAATCAAAAAAAAAAAAAAAAAAAGAAAAACATCAGCAGTTCCAAGGAGGGAAGGTATGAGGACCCATAAAAATAGGCTTAGGAGACATATAGACCCTTTATGTAAATAGATTCTGAGTGATTATAGTACTAGGATGTGAGCACAGAAACATTTGATGAAATTATTAGAACAATTTTAGAAAAGTAAAAACGATTAAATAAAAATAAATTCCTATGCAAATATGGTATCTAGACATGGTTAGAAGGCCTTCTTTCAATGGCTAAGAATTCCTTTTGTTAGAGACCTGTTGGATATGGGACTGGAAGCCTCCCCAACAGATGCCTAAAGAATCAAAATGCAAAGTTGATTGGAACACGAACACACACACACACACACACACACACACACACACACTGGAAGCATGGAAAATCAGTTACAGGTACAACATTTGTCTGGTAAGACCACCTTCCCCTAGGTTCAACAACTGATCAGCTAGCTAAGTGATGGCAAACTCTGCTTGCTCCTAGCAAGATCCCTTTTCCCCAGCCATAGCCATCACAGCTTGCCACCACAATCTACCATGGAGACTCTCAGGACTAACAAACACAGTGCCTGTTTTTTTCCTTTTCACATTTGGACGTAAGAGATTCAAGATTCCCAGGTCATCCTAAGCTCAACATGGCTTTTTGACCCTCCTAATTTGACCTGTCTCGGCCACCTTCCCAATTCCTGAGACTTTCCACAGTGTCTTCTGGAGTGTGCAGTCATAATCTCATAACCAGTGGAATCCCTGCACTGCCAAACTCTTCTCCAAACCTCTCCAGCTTATGCCCACTGAGGAACATTGCTTCCCCAGCAATCCCAGATCACTGTTATTCTCTCTGCCCTTAAGCTCCTTTTTCTCTACCCAGTCTTCTTTCTATCCATGGTTTTTGTTTTTGATTTGTTTTAAAAAAAAAAAGATTTATCATTATAATTTTTAATTTGTTATAGGACACATGCCCTTACAGAGACAGAGAAGGAAAGTGTGAAAGAAAGCCAGTAGGTCTGGGACTCAAACTGCAGTCGGCCATGTGGGAGTCCAGGGCCTTAACCACCATGCCACATCCTGGCCCCCTCAGTCCATGCTCTCAGGACTTCTTTTTTAATCACTGATTTTAAGCAATCTGGTTATGATGTGCTTTAGTATGGTATTCTTCATGTTTCTTCTGCTGGGAATTTCAAATTTCTTATTAGATTTGTGGGTTCATCAATATTAGCAAGTTTGAACTGCCATTTTTTTTCATTCTTTTTTTCAGGCACCATCCCATCTCACTCAATATCCTCATTCTTAATTCTGTCTTCTTATACCAGTGGTACGCAACCTTCCCAGCACCAGGGACTGGCCTTGGGGAAGACAATCCCTCCACAGTCGATGACCTAAGCATACCACATCCACCATGCTCCCTATCTTCCACCACCACCACCACATTGCAACAGACACTGAAACAATCACACAACAAAAGGGCTCATGAGGGGGCCAGCAGTTAGTGTAATGGCTATGTCACTGGACTCCCATGTAGTCCACCGCGGTTCGAGTCCCAGACCTGGTGGCTTAAACTCACGTTGGGTGCGTGTGCATGCGTGCCCAAGATCCCGAGAGGAGAATGAAGAAGGGATTGCGATGTGGCCATCCCCCCGGGGGGTGATTTCTCGCTTTCTGTCTCTCTCTGTCTTTCAAACTGTGGTAGGCTACATGGGAGTCCAGCGACATAGCCATTAGCCAACTGCTGGTCCTGCAGATTCCTGTATTCAGGATTCCAATTATATGTATAGTAGACCACTTAAAATTGCCCACAACTAACTGATGCTTACAGTTTTTTGTTGTTTGTTTTTAGCTTTTATTTCTCTGTGTTCTATTGTGGATAGTTTCTATTTTTTGGCCTTATACAGACTCACACACACATGTATAAATACACACACACACACATACACATATAAACAAGCATTGTGTGTATGTATACATTTTTTTCTTGGACAATGATTACATTTTTCCATCTTTAGAATCGTTTTTGCTATAGGGTAGGTGCGCTCACCAGACAGACAGAGAGACAGAGAGGCAGAAAGCGAGAAATCACCCCCCCCAGGGGGGATGGCCACACCACAATCCCTTCTCCTCCATTCTCCTCTTGGGATCTTGGGCACGCAAGCACACGTGCCCAGCATGAGTTTAAGCCACCGGGTCCGGGACTCGAACCGCGGTTGACTACATGGGAGTCCAGCAACATAGCCATTACGCTAACTGCTGGTCCCCAATCTTTAGAATCTTAATGTTAGTCATCTTTATGTTTTCTATGTTTCCCTCAACATTCTCATGCTTTCTTGTATCTTGAGTATAAACAGTGTATTTATAGAGGTTTTTCCATTTTGGCTGTTGGGAATGTGAACGATGTCCAGCTGTATGGGGCCTGTCGGAACTGGTGGTTCTTTCTCCAGTCTTAGGTAATTTCTTTACATGTATCTGCTGATTAGTGCTTAACTGAAGACTCAAGAGGGGAGCGCTTTATAGGTCAGAATTTTCTGTGAAGATTCCTCCTCTCCAGTACTCTACCCTAAGAATTCCAGCTATGTTGGCCACTTTGAATTCCACTGGTCTCATAAACTTAGGGAACCTGTTGGGCTCTGAAATCCCTATCTGTGCTGCTTCCTAAAAATTCTCTCCCAGCAGTAAGTTGAAGCAATTGAAGAAAGTACTGTCTTGCTTTGTCTATTGTCCAATGTCTGAAAAATATTGTTTCACATATATTTTCTCAAATTTATTTATGTAGTTTCATATATTTAGATGTTTTACATTTTTCTTCAGTTGTTTAAGATGGAAAAATAACTCAGTTCCTGTTACTCCATCATACCTAGAACAGTCTTTGATCTTTTATCTGACTATAATACCATTCCTTGCCAGATGGTCTAGAGACCACCATACATCCACTTACAGATGGTATGGCGTATTACTCCCTAGAACACTACTCCTTTGATCAACCTGGTGACTAATAACTACAAGATGTTCCTTTCAGTATCCTGGACTCTTAGTTCCCCAACCTCTTATTCCATGATCCCATCCTCACCCTTATCTCAGCCATTCACTCTTGATTACACTTGACCTTATCCACACCATACTGCAGCCCTGTCATAATCTTGATTTCCGGCATTCCATTCCTCAACGATGAGCTCCCTTCTTTTCCAATGATTCCCTCTAGAACTCTAACCACAAATTCTTGATCTAATAAGGAATAACCATTTTGGAGCCTATTATTTTTTCTCATCCACCTCATGTGTTTCCTTTTCTCCTTTTCCCAGCATGGTCTTAACACCTTTTACATAACTCTCTACTCTTGGTCTGTGCTTTGTCATGTCTACTCACCTGGCAAAACTGCCATGCTGGTTAAATCTCTCTATCTGCAAGCGCTGCTTATGTCTGCACTTGCCCAGCAAAATAAGCTGAAGGAAAACACAACTCATGCTCACCAGCCTCACTTCAAATTAGTGATCAATTACTTAAAGCAGGTCCTTTGAGCTGTCCAAAAATCCTACTAGTAATAAAATTTCCTAGTCTATGTATTCGCTTTCCTAGAAAAGTTTCATAAGTTGTCCTCTCCTGAATAACTAACTGCTCCCCTATCCTCACTTGTCAGGTGATAATGCTTCCTATTTTCTGAGAAATATAAAAAAGATAACTTTCATGAACTCCTACCGCTCCCCATCCTCATAACCAGTGGAACCCCTCATCAGCAGGGATCAAATGGATCTGTATCTATGCATCCATTTTCTGTTATTTTTGAAGAATCAGCAGTCAGTGCTTCTACTTAAGGCCCCCCAACCCCCACCTCCCCCACTTCCCCCCATCCCCACCTCCATCTACCGGTGGTCTGGAGGACTGTGTCCCATCTTGCCTGCAACAGCTTCTCCCTATACCTCCAACATCAGCAATTTTACCCTTTCTATGGATCCAAGAGGATACTGCATTATAGTGATATACTTTAGTATCTCTTACCAAACCAAACCAGACAAAACCACCTCAGTAGACACATTCCCTCTGGCTACTGCCCTATTTCTCTGCTGCCCTTAAGGCATAACTATCCCACCCCCCAACAAGTTTATTTCTTCCATGAGAGAGAGAGAGAGAGAGAGACAGGTATCCCCAACATCATCTTTGGCTCAGCTAACCTGGATCACAGCATGTACAAGGTTTCAGGGGGACCAGCAGCTGCCTGTCGCTGGACTCCCATGTAGTTGACCAAGGTTCAAGGCCCGGATCTAGTGGCTTAAACTCATATGGGGCATGTGCGTGAGTGCCCAGGATCCCAAGAGAAGAATGGAGGAGAAGGGACTGCAGTGTGGCCATCTCCCCAGGGGGGTGATTTCTTGCTTTCTGTCTCTCTGTCTCTCTCTGTCTTTCTGGCGAGTGCATGCACCCTATAGCAAAAAAACCTCTCCAAAAAAATAAATAAATAAAAAAGAAGGCCTCAGGATGCGAACCAGGTATCTTTTCATGTGGATCCAGTTATACTGCTATATCACGTCTGGCCCCTAAGATGTAACTTCTTGAAAGAAATGTCTATATTCACTATCACCATTTCTTCTACTTGTATTTTATTTATTTATTAATTTTTTTGGAGAGGTTTTTGCTATAGGGTGCATGCGCTCGCCAGAAAGAGAGAGACAGCGAGAGAGAAAAATCACTCCCCGGGGGGGATGGCCACGCGGCAATCCCTTCTCCTCCATTTTCCTCTCTGGATCTTGGACACGCATGCACACACACCCGGCTTGAGTTTAAGCCACCAGGTCTGGGACTCAAACCGCGGTCGACTACATGGGAGTCCAGCAACATAGCCATTACGCCAACTGCTGGTCCTTCCTTGCATTTTATTTTGAACTCACTCTGCTGCTCCAGTGAAACTCTTTTTTCAAAGGACACCAAAGATCTTCATGTTGTTAAACTCTATTCTCAGTCATCAATAACTCTTTCTTTCTTTCTTCTTTAAGAGAGATTTTTGCTAAAGGGCATGTGTGCTGGCGGGAAAGACAGAGAGAGGCAGAGACACCAAAAAGTGAGAAATCACACACACACACCGGGGATGGCCACACCGCAATCCCTTCTCCTCCATTCTCCTCTCGGGATCTTGGGCATGTATGCCCATGCGCCAGCTTGAGTTTAAGCCGCCAGGTCCAAGACTCGAACCTCAAGTGTACTACGTGGGAGTCCAGCAACGTAACCATTACATCATCTGCTGGTTCCCCACTAGCTCTTCCTTATCTCCCAATCTCTAAATGTTGGAATGTCCCAGGGCTCAGTCCTCTTCTTTTTAGGGCCTATACCATCTCCATAGTTGATCTCACCCATCCCTAAGACTTTAAATACTATTATAGGTTGATGCCTCTCCAAATTTATTGCTCAAGCCTTTTCCATGAACTCCATTTTTGTATACCCAATTCACAATTTAAAGTGTCTATTTGGACACCAAACTGGTATTTCAAACTCGAATCTCCATGCTGTCTACCTCCAAATTGCTCCTTCCACAATTTCCTACAACTCGGTAAATTGAAGTTCTGTTCTGATTACCAGTACTCAAAAGTTAGGAAGCACCTTAGATCCTCTCCATCACACCCCACATCTAGTCTAACTGCAAACGCTGGTGAGTCCAATTTCAACATATAGCTGGGATATAACTACTTCTCAAATCCTCCACTGCTATCAGCCTGGTTGGAAGCTCTCATCAGCTCCCTTTAGGGATACTGCCCTGGCCTAACTGGTCTCCCTATTCTGATTTTTTTTCATGACAATAGCAGAGTCATCATTTTATTCTTTTGCTCAAAGCCTTTTTCAATAGAGTGAGCCCTCCTCACTCCTTAATTGCTGCCATCCACTTTAAAATGAATTACAAGGCCCTGTATGATCCATTCTCCCACCTCTGACCTCACCTACCACTGTTTTCCTCACTGACTACTCTGGTCTCACAAGTCTCATTGCTCTTTCTTGGATATACTGAACAAATTTAGGGCTTTTGCTTTTGTTGCCCCTTTGCCCAAAAGTCTTGTCCAGACCATGACAAAGTCTTGTCCTTTTTCATTCAGGAGTTTGCTCAAACACACCTTATCAGTGAGGTCTTCCCTGACACTACAAATTAGAATACCACTCAATTACATTCCCTTTCTCCATTACCTTGCCTTCCCCGCCCCCCACAAAGCCCTGATCACCACCTTGCATCCTACATGGTTTATCTTCCTGTTTGCTGCTGGGATCTCGGCACTATAAATGGGCTCTAGGAGGGCACTGTCCCCAGTGCACAGCACATATTTGGTGTCGTCTCCTTGAATCTTTCTTCGCTTGGCTTGCAGGACACATCTGCTTTGGCTCTCCTATTATCTCACTAGCTAGTCCTCTGGTGTCCTTGCTGGTAAATGAAAAGGGATGGAAGGATTCAAAGCCCATCTTAGGAAGATAACCAGTCTTCTAGACTAAGCTCGTTAGGACCTGAGTCAGCTCAAAGACCCGATAACAACCTGCCTTCTATGGAGTTACCCAAGTAAGCCAGGAACTTCCTCTCTGTGTGCAGGTAGGACACCTGTAGCAGGAGAGCCAACATGTCAAAGTATTAGCTTTCTCCTACTGAAAAGGAAAACTACTTCCTAAAAGAGAAGTTTTAAATTTATGTTTTTATTGCTTCAACCACTGGGAAATATAAAATTGAATTCACCATAAAGTCACTATGAGAAAATGCTAACCTAACATATTTTATAAAGTAAATAAGTAGTTTTATCTTATCTGGTCATGGAGAGTAGACAGCATTATAATAAGAATGGTGAAAATGAACACTTTTCTACCATAAATACAACATTGGCTAAATTTAGAGAATAATGGAAAAATTCCTAATAAAAAGAAAAAAAGAAACTACAAAAATAGGACTGTCCCTTAAAGTAGGCAACCTTGTTAAGGAATGATCAAGGAATTGTCAGATTAGAGGAAATTAAGGAGAAAATGATACATGGGACCCTTGCTTGGATTTGGAACAGAAAAAAAAAAAAACAAAGACATCAGTGGAAGATTGGGTGAAATCCAAATAAAGTCTATAGTTTAAAAATAAACCAACAAAAAACCCCTCAAATCTTCACTCTCTACAAGAAACTCTACCTCAGCATCTAGCACACATCATTTGCATAAATATTTGCTCTATTTGGAAGTTCTATGCAAGTCAAGACACACCCTTCCAGGGCTGGATACCTTTGTTAGAAGGTTGAGGTTCTTCCGTGCACTGCTTTGAGTTATATTCATTGGTAACTTCAGTTTAGTTCTTCCTTCTCCAACTACACATACGCAATCTAATTCTCTTTTACTAGATGTTCACACATCCTGCCTTCAGTTTCTTTTTGAAGCTTGACACATTCAGTTCCCGTCTCCAAGACACCAAGATATTTTACACCCTTTATCATTCTCACACAACTTGTAAAGTACTCGGGTTAGTCAGATGGTCTTAAACTCAATGCTCTGAACAGTAGGGGGGTGCATATGTTGATAAAAATTCTTCTTCTTCTCCTTTTGGACTTTGTGCTTCTAGGCTTAAAATTGTCCTCCCTCTTTTAGCTGCTACATCAATCACAGTGTTGATGTGATGGACAGTTCCTTAGTCTTTTTCATGTAGATTCTCAAGGATGAATTGTTAGGAAGGGAGAAGGGAACACTGGCTGCTAATCTGCTGGGGACTTCACCTGAATTGCCAGCCCCTAGAACTGTGAGAACAAATCCCACTTTATGGCATTTTGTTACAACAGCTCCAGTGAGTGGGCTAACACAACTTTCCAAATCTGACCAAAGAGCTAATTTCCACAAAACTTGTGGTTCTCAGTCATTATCCAAATAATAAATCTAAAATCTTGCGCAACCACCTCTTGTGACCATCGCTACCGATCCTTTCCCAAACTCATGTGGTATATAATTCAATGCCCCATTCTCAACCCTGTGACCTTTCTTCCTCCACCTAACAGAATCACATTGGCAAGTGGTAAAGTGAGACATCCAGAGTGCCCCTTTATGAAAGAGCCTTCATTCATCTGCAAGCTTTATCTGAGAGTCATAAATCTCCCTGAGAAAGCCATCCAGTCACAGCTGCCGTGCACCACCTTCCAGAAACCAAAGCGTCAGATCTGAGTTTCCCAACAGTCCTTTCCGGCTGGAGTCATCTATTACACGGGCAGCGCATTACTTCCTCACATCTGGCCATCATCAATCTATTTCCTGACTTTTCACCCTCCACATCCCCACATCCCTTTGAAGTCTAAGCACTGGTCAACACTGTCAGGTATAAAAACACACAGCACGTGCACGGGGAGGCTCTGAGGTCCACAATATGCAAAAACTAGAATCCTTAGAGACTGCTAGAACCCCTGGGGTCGCGTAGAGGGCCTCGATGGAAACGAGTTAGGGCAAAGCAGCCCTCCCGTATCGGTCTCTTTAGGGACGGAGGGTTCCTCAGTCGGGACTGGGATGCCAGCGGCACTCCGTCACCTCACGCAACCCCGAAGGCGAAGCCGCGGGCGCCGGCTCCCCAGGAGTAACAGCGCCGCC